TATCGGTATTACAATGAAATAAACATTTATTCTCTTTCTCTCCAGTTTTTGCTTTTTGGTCTGTCTGAGCGGAAACTTGGAATATGGCTGCTTGTGAATTGATCCCTTTGTTCTCCGAGCTGAGGAAGATGCAATGTGCTTAAGGACAGTGAGGAGAAGACACCTTTAATAGTCAAGACCAATGTACCCTTGGTGGGGTCAGGCCACCAATCAGTTTCTTTATCTGTGCTGGCACAAGGGTATACTTTGGCATTCTCTGCAGCTTTAAGGAAAAGCTGTATACTTTTTGTAAATGCATGCAGGCACATCCAATTGTCCAAACTAAAATGACGTCTAAGATGGGAGGCAGCCTGGAAAAGGTCATTTTGGGTCCTATAGGCTCTGAAGTACGAGACACACACACACACACAAACTTTTGAAGGAAAGTGAAATGGATGTTAAACACCAGAAAAACTTTAGAAGTATTTCCGCTACATTCAGGAAAAAGTGGTGCCATTTTCACCACTTTATTGCCATTGTACTAAAAGACAAGTCAAAATAATAATAACAACAACAATAAGAGTTATATATAAGACATAGAAAGGAACAGAAAAGACTGGCCCCATTTTCTGATGAAGTGACAGTGAATCTAGAAAATCCAGCTACAAACAAGTCAAGGTAATAAGAGAATACATGAAAATTGCCAGATATAAATCAACATATAAAAGTCAACAATATTGCTGTCCACATCAAATAACCAATTAGAAAATGGCATAAAGAAGCACACCAAATAGTGACAAGTACTCTAAGGAACCTAGAAGTTCAAGGAATAAAAGATGTGTAAGATTGGTGGAAAATTGTAGAAAAGCAAAATTAAAAATAAAAAATCTGAACAAATGGCAAGAGTCATCATGCACATTGGACCAAAGTAGATATTGTAATTTAAATTATAAAATACAGAAATAAACAATATATAATGCTATGCTTCAAAACATGTTGGATGCAGCTAAAGCAGCACTTAAAGAGAAATTTATAGTCTTAAGTCCGTGTATTGAGAGAAAAGGGGATAAACCTTAATGCAGTGGTAAGCACCTACTTAAGAAAAAGTAGAAAAAGAAAATAATTATAGCAGAAATTAATGTAATATAAATAAACATATAAAAGAGGGGTTCAACAGGTCCAGAGTTGGTTTGTTTTTTGGTTTTGAGCTTTTTTTTTAACTTGCGAAATAACATCTACCAAGATTGAATAAGAAAAAAGGAGGAAGGTACTAATAACTAGTATTAGAAATGGAAATGTGGATAAAATTAAAAATACTGTTGATATTCAAAAGATAAGGGTATTATGCATAACTTCATCACAATTTGTTTGAAAACTTATTTTAGCTTATTTGAAAATGGTGAAATTCCTAGAAAAATATATCTCACCAAAACATTCAAGAAAGATAGCCTACTAAAAAAATATATCAACAGCTGCAATTTTTTTTTTTTTTGGCAGGGAAAGATCCACCCTGAGCTAAAACCTGTTGCCAGTCTTCCTCTTTTTTTCCCAGCCCAAAGTCCCATTACATGGTTGTATATCCTAGTTGTGAGACCTTCTAGTTCTTCTTTGTGAGTCACCACCACAGCATGGCTACTGACAGATGAGTGATTTGGTTCTGCAACTGGGAAATGAACCCAGGCCCCTGAAGTGGTGACAGCACTGAACTTTAACTGCTAGACCATCAGAGCTGGCTCAACAGTTGCAATTTTTTGGCAAAGAAAACACTAAATGGTTTACCCAAGTTCTGCCAAGTATTCAAAAAACAAGTAATTTCAATCTTAAACAAATTCTTCCAGAGAATAGAAAAAGGGGGAGTGATCCTCACCTTATTTTATGAAGCTAGAGAAAAAATTGATGCCAACATTTGACAAGGGAAGTGTGAGAAAGGAAAACCACAAGCCAGTCTCTCTCATGAACAGAGACCGAAAAATTCTAAACAAAACATTTGCCAATGAAATCCAAATACAGTCATGCACTGCACAATGACATTTCAATCAAGAACAGACTGCGTGTATGATAGTGGTCCTGTAAGATTAGTACCATATAGCCTAGGTGTGCAATAGGCTATACCATCTAGGTTTGTGTAAGTGCACTCTATGATGTTCGCACAATGATGGAATTGCCTAACAGAGCACTTCTCAGAAAGTGTCCCCATTGTTAAGTGACACGTGACTATATATAAAGGACTGCACCTCATGATCAAGTTGGGTTTATCCTAGGAAGGTATCCTCTGTGTAACCTGCAGAAAAGCAAAAAATGTGGATGCAGTTGCAGGAGATGGAGGATTTGGGGTTCAGAATCTGTGGAAGTTCTCTTTTGATTGCTTCAATTTTTTCCCAATGAATTAGAAAAAAATGTTATTAGGGGAAGGTGCAAATAGAGGAGCAGCTCTTGGAGATTTGAGGACAAAGAAGGTATGAATTAGTCCTCTAGGAGAGTGGGAGAGTAAAGGGAATAGAGTGTGACCGAATTGAAATTCATCTAGGTTCATGGTCATAAATTTAAAGATCATTTACTAGAGGCCCCAGCTTGTGCAGTAAGAAATGAAAAGGTCTAAGGATTAGGAAAGAAACAGTGAAGCTCTCATTACTCATAGATGATATTATTATTCCTACAGAAAACCAAAAAGAGATTGTGAAATATATAAAAGTCAATTGCATTTGTAAACATTAACAGCAAATAGTTGGAAAATTTAATCTTAAATCAGATCACATTTAAATATATATATGGTTATATATCACGTTGCAAAAAATATAAAAGTGTAGATTCTTATGAGAAAAATGTAAAATTTTACTGAATGATATTAAAGAAGCCCTAAAAAGGGGGAATTATATAACATATTCATGAATAGGAAGAATCAGTATCATAAAGAAGTCAATTCATCACTAAATTGATGTATAAAATTCAACGTAATTGTAATTAAAACTGTTCAAAGACATATTGTTGACAGAAAGGCAAGATATAGACCCTACCACAAATGAAAATTTATTTTCATGCCATAATAGTTAAAGGGATGTGGTACTGGTCCAGGGATAGACAAACAGATTAACAAAATTGTCGAGAGAGTTCAGAAGCAGACTCACACATATATGAAGACGATTCATAATGGCTCACTGGAGAAAGGAAGGCACAATTCCAAAAACGGTGCTGAGGCAACCAGCTATCCAGAGTAAAAGAAAATTAAAATTAATTCCTTACATTATGCCATACATAAAAACATCTACATAAATTAAAGACTTAAATGTAAAAAGCAATTTTAAAATATATTTTAGAAAATACGAGATCATTTTTATGACATTGAGATAGAGAATATTTTTCTAAATAAGATGGATAATGCACCAAAAGGAAAATATTTGAATTGACTAACATTAAAATTTTTTGTGTGATGTGTCCGGGTTTCAGTATTCTGTATAGTTGAATCAGGAAGGAGCCTAAGATAGGAAAGATTGAAGTAGGCTATATTCTACCTATGTCAGAAACTGTTCTACGATAGAGTTGTGGATACAATAGAAATGTGACTCTGACTCCTTTTGGTGAAATCTTACAGCTTGTGTTCCAAAAAGCAATATAGTAGAGACAAAGGAGAGTTATAAAAAGAAATATAGATGTACTTTGGTAGCAGTTGAGAGGCAGACATTGAGATGTCCTTGAGAATCTGAATTGAGGAAGCTAGACCTAGCCCATGAGCGCAAGCAGCTGAGACCTGAAAGAGAAGATGGCTTTCAAGGAACAAGCAAAGAGAAATAGATAGATGCTAGGCTGAAGGTGAACAGATGGATAATAAAGCCAGGAGAGATTGGTCAACCCTTTATTCAGGCCATCCTCCTCTGTATTTCCTAACTTCTCACAGCAGACGCTCCAGTACATACCAACCGAAGGTCAATTCATGGCAGTTCCTGCAATAATTCTAGCAAGGGCAGGAAAGAGTTAACCTCAACCCCACCATCCCTCAAGGCTTAGACTTAAACCACTAAGTCAGCCATGACTGGTGGGTTCATATTTGGCCTCCTAAAGTCACCTCCTCTGCTCACATCCAGGACCCAGCCAGCCCCACTCTAATTATATTAACTTCTAAATTGGAGACCACCCTTCCATCCACCACTACCTTCTCCCGCACCATGCTGCAGTTCTGGCCAGCTCCAAATATTGGTAGCCAAGTCCCCCTGTCACACCTGGGGCCCTGCCACCCCTCTTCCCCTCTGCCTGGGGCGAAGCCTGCCTCCTTCCCTTGGTGCCAGCACACCACAAGGACCCTCTTAACTATTCCATTGTCTCATTACTAGTGTAGGAAATTTTTGTTAAGCTAGGCCCTACTTTGAAGAGGAATACATTTAAGCCAAAAAGGAGAGTCTGCCTTTCTGAGACAATTGTCCTAAGGCAGCAGTGATAGAATTTATAGATCCCAACACTCAGTCTCCCCTACCCTAGTCCCAGAGCACCCCACTGCCCACCACGAGAACTCATTCTGCAGATATGAGAGATTTGCCCAGGATGAAACTCTTGATTCAGGCCTCAGGAGCTATGGATGCAGTACACCACAGCTGACTCAACCGGGCATCTTCAGAGCTGGAATGTCTCACCTTGTGTGTCTGCAAGCCAGCTGCCAGCTCATCAGGACCAGTTATGGAAGGGAAAATCACATTTTCCAAAAGCTTTTCTAAGTGTTCACATGGCTAACTGCCCTTGCTTATTGTCCTGAGTACTCAGGCACCGCACACCACAAAAACCAGCTGAGACCACTTCAATGACTGGTTCCCAGGGGAAAATGATGGTGCGAAAAGGTGAAACAAAATTATGGAAACCAGCTGCCTCTTCATGGAAGTATCACCCTGGGTCTATACCAACCAAGGGTTCAATATTTACCAAAATATAAATTACTCTCCAACCTCAGAGCCAAGGGCAATGTCTTAAGAGCCTGAGATGGCTCTACCAGTTGAATGAAGTAAGCAAAGTCTGATTGCTTACTATGAGCTGGACTGTTCTCCATTATTCTTTTTATCATGGGGTCCAGTGTCCCCATGTTGATCTACAAGCCAAGTCTCCTATTTCATCCTCCCACATGGGTCTTCCTTCTCTAGGCAACACTTCAAGATTTGGACATCTTCTTTCTTCCTCCCAAAACTTACCACTCCTGGATTTCCTTTATTTAGTTCATTAATTTCAACATAAATTTTTTGGTCTCCTTCTGTGATCCAGGCACAATACTATAGTACAAAGCATAAAACAATAAATTAGATGTGTTCCTTTTTCTCAGGAACTAAAATAGTTCTATTTCTCAAGGAACATGTGAACGTTTACCTAACGTCTAACTATACTAATGTATTCATTCATATTTCAGGATTTATTTATTTTACAAATAGTTTACTTACCTGTATATTATACCCCTGGGTGGTTCAGTTGGGAAATACTGGATTCTGAAGTGCTGTGGGAGAGGAGGCAGAGATATAGCAATTAGTATTATCTAGAAATCAGCTAGAAATTCAAATAGAGGTTTTTAAAGGAAAGTCAAGCCTGGATATGAGAATGACTGTGGCTACCTTGGCAGAGAGAAAGGCTGAGAACTACACCCTGGGAACATCCACCATTTAAAGTTATACAAAGGAAATGTGAATTCAAAGAAGATGACTGAGAAAAAGTGCCAGTCACATAAGCAGAATCACGTGAGTGCTGTTTTAAGATGTCATCAGCAGCCCCAGTTAATAACACATGGTCATTTTAACAATGCCCTCCAACCAGGTTGGGCACGTGAGCCTTTACTTCCTCAAATTACAACCCATAGCCAAACAACCACCTGATCTAGAGGTGAGTTGGTTGGGCCTGCATACTGTCCTTTGCTAATGGGAATGTGACTAAGGATCGAGGAATCAGGAGCGGGCCAAATGGACTCACTGGGGACCAAGAACAGGACTGGCTCTGTGCCAGGAGTTCAAATTTCACTAGTTGGCTGCAAATCTGTGCCACTTCCCAATGGAATGCTACAGTCCTCCGACCTACCCTCAACTCATAACAGAGGTCACAATTCACTGCAGTTTCACAGTGTGTTTCTGTGGATGTTTGGAATCAGAAGCACGGAGTCACAGAATAGCCGTACAGAATTTAAAGAGAATCACCAGAATTCAGCCTTCTCATTTTACACAGGAGGACGCTGAGTCCAAAGATTATTAATTTGGCCAAGGCTGCATAGCAGTTTAGCAGAGTGGTTAAGTAAACAGGCTGCGGACTCACAGTGCCAGGGAACTTGAAGCTGTGTGCCTAGGGCATGGCCCTTAAGGTTGCTAGGTCTCAGTTAACACTTCTTTAAAGTGGAATATGAATAATGTCTGTATCACCGGTTAGTTATAATATGAATAAGATAATGAATTCAAAGCTCTTAGCACAACAACTAGCATATGGTGGCACAGACGATTCTCAAAGCCAAGTCTTCTGACTTAGAGGTCAGAGCTCTTTCCCTGAGCCATGCCCCCTCCCTTATACAGAGAAGTTAGAAATGAATGTACAGAGGCATTGCGCATGTACAAACTTATCACTAGAGCACGTGAATTATGCATTCATTTTTTTATTGTGGTCATAATAGCTTATAACATAGTGAGGTTTCAGTTGTACATTATTGTTTGTCATACACCATATAAATATGCCCCTTCACCCCTTGTGCCCACCTTCCACCTTCTTCCCCCAGTAACCACTAGTTTATTCTCTTTGTCTGTAAGTTTGTTTATATTCCATATATGAGCAAAGTCATATGGTGTTTGTCTTTCTCTGTCTGGCTTATTTCGCTTAACATGATGCCCTCGAGGTTCATCCATGTGGTTGCGAATGGGACGATTTCGTCTTTTTTATGGCTGAGTAGTATTCCATTGTATATATATATCACATCTTTATCCAGTCATCCATCGTTGGGCACTTGGGTTGCTTCCACCTCTTAGCTATTATGAATAATGCTGCAACGAACATAGGGGTGCACAAGTCTCTTTGAATTGTTGATTTCAAGTTTTTGAGTAAATACCCAATAGCGAGATAGCTGGGTCATATGGTATTTCTGTTTTTAACTTTTTGAGAAATCTCCATACTGTTTTCCACAGTGGCTGCACCAGTTTGCATTCCCACCAGCAGTGGATGAGGGTTCCCTTTTCTCCACAACCTCTCCAACATTTGTTGTTTTTGTCTTGGTGATTATAGCCATTCTAATGGGTGTAAGATGGTATCTAAGTGTAGTCTTGATTTGCATTTTCTGATGATTAGTGATGATGAGCATCTTGTCATGTGCCTATTAGCCATCTGTATATCTTCTTTGGAAAAATGTCTCTTCATATCTTCTGCCCGCTTTTTGATTGAGTTGTTTGTTTTTTGTAGTTCATTTGTGCGTGCTCTTTATACATTATGGAGATTAACCCCTTATCAGATATATAATTTGCAAATATTTTCTCCCATTCGGTGGCTTGTTTTTTCATTTTGATCTTGGCTTCCTTTGCCTTTCAGAAGCTCTTTAGTCTAATGAAGTCCCACTTGTTCATTTTTTCGTTTGTTTCCCTTGTCTGAGTAGACATGGTATTCAAAAAGATGCTTTTAAGTCTGATGTCAACGAGTGTACTGCCTATATTCTTTTCCAGAAGTTTTATGGTTTCAGGTCTTACCTTCAAGTCTTTGGTCCATTTTGAGTCTATTTTTGTGCAAGGGGAAAGATAATGGTCTCCTTTCATTCTTTTGTCTGTCCAATTTTCCCAGCACCATTTATTAAAGAAGCTTTCCTTTCTCCATTGTATGTTCTTGACTCCTTTGTCGAAGATTTGCTGTCCGTAGATGTGGGGTTTTATTTCTGGGCTTTCAATTCAGTTCCATTGCTCTGTGTCTCTGTTCTTACACCAGTACCATGCTGTTTTGATCACTATAGCTTTGTAATATATTTTGAAATCAGGGATTGCAATGCCACCAGCAATTTTCTTGTTTTTCAGGATTGCTTTGACTATTCAGGCCTTTTGTTGCCCCATATGGATTTTAGGATTCTTTGTCCTATTTCTATGAAGAATGTCATTGGGATTCTGATTGGAATTGCATTGAATCTGTAGATTGCTTTAGGTAGCATGGACATTTTAACTATGTTTATTCTTCCAATCCATGTGCATAGAATATCTGTCCATTTCTTTATGTCACTATCAATTTCTTTCAGTAATGTCTTATAGTTTTCTTTGTTTAGGTCTTTCACCTCCTTGGTTAAATTTATTCCTAGATATTTTATTCTTTTTGTTGCGATTGTAAATGGAACTATATTCTTGAGTTCTTGTTCTGTTAGTTCATTATTTGAGTATAGAAATGCTACTGATTTTTGTAAGTTGACTTTGTACTTTGCAACTTTGCTGTAGTTGTTGATTATTTCTAATAGTTTTGTGATGGATTCTTTAAGGTTTTCTATATATAAAAGCATATCATCTGCAAACAGTGAGATTTTCACTTCTTCAGTGCCTATTTGGATTCCTTTTATTTCTTTTTCCTGCTGAATTGCTCTGGCCAAAACCTCCAGTACTGTGTTGAATAAGAGTGGTGAGAGTGGGCATCCTTGTCTTGTTCCTGTTCTCAGAGGGATGGCTTTCAGTTTTTCCCCATTGACTATGATGTTGGCTGTGGGTTTGTCATATATGGCCTTTATTATGTTGAGGTGCTTTCCTTCTATACCCATTTTATTGAGAGTTTTTATCATGAATGGATGTTGGATCTTGTCAAATGCCTTCTCTGCATCCATGGAGATAATCATGTGGGTTTTGTTCCTCATTTTTTTAATGTGGTATATCACGTTGATTGATTTGTGGATGTTGAACCATCCTTGGGTCCCTGGCATGAATCCCACTTGATCATGGTGTATGATCTTTTTAATGTATTGACGTATTCGGTTTGCCAATATTTTGTTCAGGATTTTTACATCCATGTTCATTAGTGATAGTGGCCTGTAATTTTCCTTCTTTGTGTTGTCCTTATCTGGCTTTGGTATCAGGGTGATGTTGGCCTCATAGAATGTGTTAGGAATATTTCCATCTTCCTCAATCTTTTGGAATAGTTTGAGAAGAATGGGTAATAAATTGTCTTTGAATATTTGAATTTTCCTGAGAAGCCATCTAGTCCTGGACTTTCATTTTTTGGGAGGTTTTTGAAAACTTTCAATCTCTTTACTTGTGATCGGTCTATTCAGATTATTTATTTCTTCTTGGTTCAGTCTCGGGAGGTTGTAAGAGTCTAAGAAATGATCCATTTCTTCTAGATTGTCCAGTCTGTTGGCATATAGTTTTTCATAATATTCTCTTATAATCTTTTGTATTTCTGTGGTATCCATTTCTTCTCTTTCATTTCTAACTTTATTTATTTGAGCCGCCTTCTTTTTTTCTTAATGAGTCTCGCTAAGGGTGTGTCAACCTTGTTTATCTTCTCAAAGAACCAACTCCTTGTTTCACTGATACTTTTTACAGTGTTTTTTGTTTTAATTTCATTTATTTCTGCTCTAATTTTTATTATTTCCCTCCTTCTACTGAGTTTGGGCTTTGTTTGTTCTTCTTCTTATAATTCTATTAGGTGTGGTTTAAAATTGCTTATTTCAGCTTTTTCTTGTTTGTTAACATGGGCCTGTATTGCTATAAATTGCCCTCTTAGGACCACTTTTGTTGCATCCCATATGAGTTGGTATGGTGTGTTTTCGTTCTCATTTGTCTCCAAATATTTTTTGTTTTCTCCTTCTATTTCTTCGATTATCCATTAGTTGTCCCATAGCATGTTGTTTAGTCTCCACATTTTTGTTCCTTTCCCTGCTTTTTTCTTGTAATTGGTTTCTACTGTCATACCATTATGGTCAGAGAAATAGTAAATATGATTTCAATCTTCTTAAATTTATTGAGGTTTGCCTTGTTTCCCAATATATGGTCTATCCTTGAGAATGTTCCATGTGCACTTGAAAAGAATGTATACTCCTCTGTTTTTGATGAAGTATTCTATATATATCTATTAAGTTCATCTGGTCTAGTTTTTCATTTAATTCCACTATCTCCTTGTTGACTTTTTGTCTGGATGATATATCCATTGAAATAAGTATGGTGTTGAGGTCCCCTACTGTTATTGTGTTGTTGGTAATGTCTCCTTTTAGATTTGTGATAGTTGCTTTATGTACTTTGATGCTCCTTTGTTGGGTGCATATATGTTTATAAATGTTATGTCTTCTTGCTGGAGTGTCCCTTTCATCATTATATACTGCCCCTCTATGTCTCTCTTTACCAGTTTTATCCTGAATTCTACTTTTTCTGATATAAGTATGGCAACACCTGCTTTCTTTTGTTTGCCATTTGCTTGGAGTATTGTCTTCGATCCCTTCACTCTCGGACTATGTTTGTCTTTAAAGCTGAGATGTGTTTCCTGGAGGCAGCATATTCTTGGGCCTTGTTCTTTAATCCATCCTGCCACTCTGTGTCTTTTAATTGGAGAATTCAGTCCATTTACATTCAGAGTGATTATTGATATATGAGGGCTTGATACTGCCATCTTATTTCATGTTTTCTGGTTCTTCTGCATATCCTTGGTTTCCTGTCCCATGTATATCAGGCTACCAATTTGATTAGGTAGTTTTCTTCATTTTCTCCTTGTCTATCATCTATGTCTCTGTTCTAATTATT